TACTTGTATAAATATTGGTATTATTTAAATGAAAAATAATTTTGTTTTTTTAATACTTTCTTTAAATAAAGAAAACGTTGATTTAGAGAGAAATTTTATAAGGTTTTTCCATAGTTCCGTGATACTTGCAATAAGAATTTTAATTTTCATGTTAAATTAAATACATAACAACGTGCACAACGTGTTTTGGATTTCACATTACAGTATGGTACATATATTTTATTAAAATTCAAAAAGCAAAGCAAGTAAGGCTTAAATACAATTGGTCTTAACCGACTGAATTATACTCTAAAATCTGACTATGTTTTTGAAAGATCTAAAGTTGTTTTCGTGTTGAATGACAGACATCTGAACCAGTGCAACAATCCCATTAAAATTTTACGAACATTTATAAAATGTAATCGGACACTAGTTTACAAAATTTCATATTAATATTTTTATTAATTTTTTAAACATTTGAAATAATCTCTTTGAGTTGTATGACAAGTACCCGAAATCATTATCCAAATTGGTCCAATTACAATAGGTTCTGTTCTTGGCAGAAAACAAACAATTTGTTGATAGAAACCGTTTGGTAATGTTTGTTTTATTCATTTTTGTGTTATGGCTTGCATAAATCAACGTAGAAGTTTATACTGACCAAGAAGAGACAGCGATAAGACAGATTACCGCAGGCGGCTCCTTCAAGTGGTCACAAATTCAATATTCCCTTTATGCAGGATAATAACTAAATAGAATTGAAAATCAGAAATTGCTTTTTCGGGAAAGTTTTAAGTATTTTTGTCGATTAAAGAATATTTTATTAAATTCAAAAAATTTATATACTAAAAGAATGTATATTACAATTAGCACATTTCCAATCAAATTTAAAAACACTGTGTTTGCTCTGTTCCTTCATTAATTTGTGCTTTCGTTTGCAAAAGCTTTTTAGCTTCATGTTTTTTCGAATCAAAATTTAATATCCAAAAAAAATTATTTCTCAAATCTATTTCACTGAACTGTTCTTTAAATACAAGAACTAAAAATAAAGATTTTTAAATACATACATATATATATGATAAAAATAAAAATTTTTGCATACATAAATACATATTTGAGATAACATAATAAATTTGCTCCAATTTCACTAAAATAACTATTTTCCCTGTAAATTAAATTTAATTTATTTAGTTTTACGACAATGCGTAATTCTGAATCAAAAAAGTTAATAAAATTTTTTATATTTTTAACACTTTTCCAAAAGCAATTTGTTTTCAGCGCCTTCTATTTTCGAAGCTATAAGTTTTTCCTAATTGCTTTAACAGCTTAAAGCTATTGCAAATGTCATACTCATCAAACAATGTTGTTATATATCTTAGCTCATTCGGTTAACTGAGGAATTTCAATTTTTTTCCTCATCCTAAATATATGCAATAATTTTATGATTTTGGGCTTCACCATTGTAACTAATCAACGTAGCTAGGATACGTAGTCAATATTTTTAACAAAAATTTTTTCACTTGTTCAAGAAAAAAGTTCTATTTTAAAAATCTTTGTTTTGATCTAAACTTATTAGTATTAAACAAAATTAATAATATTTATTACACAAAAAAATTTAATTTATTTTTTTAATTCAACGATCCTTGCGGTGAAAATAATAATTACAAATAATGAGAAAAGATGTGCAAATAAAATGAATTTTATTTCCTTAGAAAATAAATCTCATAATCCTCCCTGGAATTAAATGACAGAAAAGCGTAAATTAAACTCAAATTTAGTACATTTTTTCTTAGAAAACCATAAAATTTAATTTTAAATTAAAATTATTCTGAATAAAACAAGCAATATTTTGCACTAAATTTTTAAAATAACTTTTAAATTGCAAGAAAGTATTTTTATTGAACTTTATGACTTCCCACGGAAAAAAATTTTAATAAAATCATTAATTCCCAACATAATATCAAGCTTATCAACAAATTTTATTATTATTTTCCTTAAAAAATATTGAAGAATAAATTATTTTAAAGGCACGTGCAAAAATGATAAAAAAATTTTGAACAGTTTTGCCAAAAATTCTTAAATTTTCTTAAATTATATTTGGCTGGGTGTTCCGAAAAAATTTTAATATGTTAATTTAGTAATTAAAGCAAAACCTAAGGTTGAAAAGTAAATATATTATTTTAAAAACAAGAATAGCTTAGAGGTTTTTTGTTAAATTAATAATTTTATTTTGTTACAATGTTGTAAAGCAACACAGAAGCATTTATTTATTTTAAACTCTTCATGAGAAAGTTAGGTATGGTGAATCCATTCCTGATGTAGCTTCTACTGTACCTTCTTTGTAATTATATAAGCGGGTACTCATTAATGTATACAAGGCGTATTAGTGCTGGGCTTTGGTTATCACATGGCACTAGGAATCATTGTGAGCTTAGAAAAGCAAAATATATATTTGAAGTGACAATGCATAAAAATTTACACATTACAAAATCCTCAATCACCATTATTCTGAATAACCAGATGAAAAAGAATTGTTTTTCATTTATTTTATTATTTATGAAATTTGCACCACATTTTTTTAAATTAAAATTTTTAGAATTTGATTAAAAAGTTTTTCGGTTTCATATTTAAAAAAGCTCTTCAAATATCCTTAATATGTCCTTTTCATATTCTTTCTCTTATTTTTGAAGTATAACTCTTTATTTTCTGAAAATATTAATATGAACACGTGTAACAATCATTTGCGCCCACATATTTTTAAATTCACGTATCTTATAATAAAATGAAATTATTCTTTTTCCAGTTTCTATAGAACTAATATTCGAACTACTGAAGTATTAATATTATCTCGATATTTATTAAAACTGCACAGATGTATAGAACTCGTAGTTGGCAACTAACCATGTATACACACACCTACACATATGCATACAAGTAAATTTAGTATACCTCTGAGTTGTTAAACACATTACAGAGCATAGATCCTTTCGATGCTCTAAGTGGTAACAAACAAAAGAAAATATGAAAAAAAACATGAAAAATTGTTAAAAATTAAAAGTGTACAATTGTTTACGATTTATGTATAAGGAAAGAAAAAATTATTTTTGATGGTGGGTTTAGAAATAATTAAGTGGGAACATGAAAATTCTATTTGTAAAATTAAAAAATTTTTTTATTTTTTGTAATTTTTAAAATTTTTCTACTTAATTGTTCTCGAATAAAGCAGTAACAGAGAATTAAAAAGAGAAAAAACATCAAAAAATAATTTAATAAAATTTTAATTGGAGATTTTTTTTTTAGATGGAATTGACACTTTAATGAAAGAGAAAAGTTTTCTAATTGATTTGATAAAATTTTTGTTTGTTTTTTAGAAATGAAAGGGTGATGATTTTTTTTTTTGCAATTTTTATTAAAATTTTTATTTAACCAATTCATGGAAAATTTTAATTTTTGAAAATCACTCATGGATTTCTTAATGCATCCCACTGCAATTAAAATACTTAAATTACAATCAGGAAAAAATTCAATTAAATTAAATTTTAAAAATTATTTTTATAACAAATTTGTGGTATTTCTTATAATATTTCGAAAAGTTTGTTGATTAACGGAAAATAGGAGAATAATTGAAGGTTTCAAAAGGCAAATGACCTAAGTATTGCTCTCAAAATTTTTGCCAAAACAAATTTAACGAATTTTTAACCACACAACAAGAATAAAATTGCATCAAAATAATTTAAGGGCAAAGTCTTGTGCATAAAGTTTAATAAGGTAAATTGTTCGAGTTCTGGTTTCAAGAGCAGCTTAATTTAGAATGCAGCTGATTAACGGTAATGGTAATAGCTAAACTAGTCCCTTCTTTAGTTCATTTATAGAAATGGCGTTTATATTAAATATAATCCTATAACTTGGTGCTATTCTAATATTTATTTAAAAGTAATTTTGGCATTATACATTGTCCTTTCATCATTTAATGACATTTAAATATGTGAAATATGTCAATTTATTGTACATTAATATTTTAATCGAGAGTGTTATTTTTCACTAAAATTTTAAGTAAAATATTTGATTATAAGAAAATTTGTTCTCTATTCATAAATTAATTATAATTGCGAGTATGTTACGAGTATATGCATTATACGAGTATACAATAATGCTAAATTATTTATGTATTATACAATATAGTCTTAAAAAATCCCAGTCAATCTAATATTCCAAAAATAATAAAATCAAATAATGTAAGGTGTATTGGGTATTTCTTTAAATGAAGTGTTTTTTGAAAAAGTTATGGGTACGGGATGTGATTCCTATTAAAAATTAAAGAAATATTAAAAATTTTCAATTAAAAATTTTTTTATTTAAATACAGTGAAGCCTCCACAACTCAAACCTCTGCAACTTGAATCATATGAGTTTGAACATTGGCATAACTTTATTTATAAAAATTATTCTATAACACGTATTTTCTCAATTCGAATTTCTCCTTAACTCGAAATAAAATTCAGTTCTCTTGAACTTGAAAAATTTCAAATAATTTTGCACAAAACATATCATATTTTTAATCCAAACTGAAAGCACTAATGCAGTTAAAGTTTACTTTCGTTAATAGTACGTACATATGTACATATATTATATTTCATACAAACATACATGTACATATATTATATTATGTGCATACATACATGTGTACATATGCTTATAATATAGCACACGTATATTATTTCTCTTCAACTCGAAATCTCCATAATTTGAGAAATTTCAGCGTTCCCGTGCGACTTTGAGTTATAGAGGTCCAACTATATTTGAAATTGAATAAAATTATAAAGAGAAAACAGAAATAGTAAAATAGACTTAAAAAATTTGAATTTATTCATTTTGATGTTCAAAAAATAGTTGCAACACTTAAGGGTTAAAATTTATAGGAATTTTTTATTCTGCATTTATAATTACAATAAAATTTTATCTAATTTCTACTTCTGAAATTTTTTTCAATAATTTATCAATTATTGAAAAATTAAACAAAACCTTTACACATTGTTGAAATTCTTGTTTTTTTCCTCATATTTAAAATTCATTTTAAAATTGCAATTTCAAATAGAAATTTTTAATATTAAAAAATTAATTTAATTAAAATTTTTATATTTTATAACTTTTCTTTTAAAATTAATGCAGTAAAATAAAAATAATTTTTTTTTTTCAATTTTAATTTTCTACTTTTTCTACTGATTTTTTTTTTCCGTCGAAATAAAATAATTTTGTTTTACTTATTAAAATTCACAGTGCACTTTTATTCATTTTGCATTTAATAATGTAAAAGATTAAATTAAAATTTGGTTATTAAAGCAAATGAAATCACTTAAAAATTCACAGGACCGGAGAGAGTACATAAGACAATATCCTTATTTTTTAACAGCTTAATTTTTCAAATTACTTCATTTTCATTTTTATATTTTTTCTTCGCTTTTTTGCATTTATTTTTTTATGTTTAACAATTGCTTTTCTATATTATATTAAGCATATTATTCATTATTTAATCTTTTATCTCTTTATCCTCTTTATTGGAATTTTAATTTACCAGAAAATCACAATTTTTTTTTTTGTATGTACAAGAATTTGCTTTTTTCTTCTTCTTTGTTAAATTTATAATTTCAATTTATTTAGATGCTATTTTCATATATATATATATATATATATATATATATATATATATATATATATATATTCCATACATATACTCATATATACACAATTATTAAATGTATGCATATTAAAACAATAAACAAGAAAAAGTAAAAATCAAATTTTTTTTTTTATTAAAAATTTATAATTTCTTTGTCGGGTTATCCGAAATCGGAATATTCCAAAATAAACTGACGGCGGCGACTATTAGACTGAATTAAAATATTTTAGTACAAATTGTTTTATACTCTTTTTTTATCAAAATTATATTAACATACATACATACATAGGGAAAATACCATTAAATATTAAGATGAACATGTATAATTTTCTTTATATAATATTGCAAGAGAAATCTGTTCTATATATACATAGAGAGATTTATGCGTCATGCGCCATATTTTGTTAAATTTTCATCTCAATTCAAAAAATAAAGCATCATAATATCTTTTCATCATCATCGTCATCATTATCATCTCCGTTTTGGTATGGTTCGCAATTTATAATAAAAACATATGAAAAGCACGTGGTATAGAAAAAATTGTTTTAGTCCTTAATATTTTTTTTTTTGTTTTTATTAATATTTTTTTATTATTATTTTATATTTTCTTCTTTTTTTGTTTAGTACCACTTAATATTGATAATAAGATATTTCTATGCTACTTTGAAACTAGATAAATATTGTTGTGTGAATTGTAGATGAAAGAGAAATTTTCATTTTTAATAAAAAAAAAATTAAGTATATATGGTCAAGGATGAAAAACAAAAAAAAGAAAGGAAAATTTTCATATTTGTTTTTTTAATCCAAGATAAAACTAATGATCGAACCAAAAATAATTGAAACATGATGACATTGAGATAGAAATAAATATTAGAGAATTATTGAATAATTGGAGAATTTTTGTAATATAAAAGAAAAATGGTTTTCTTTTTTTAAGTATAAGAGGCTGAAATAATTAAGTAGTATATACGAGTATTAAAGAAACAATTAAGAAGAGTACAGAATTAATTGTATAGTTGCATAACGAATCTTGTGTAAATGACCTTTTAATTTCTAACAAAAATCCATGAGAAAAACATCAAAAAAACTTTTAATTTGATATTATGGATTTTTATGCATTAGCATAAATTTTGAAAGAATGAGAAATGTCCTAAAAGAGACATAGTGTTATATTATGATCCACTTCCAATTAAAATTGTGTAACTAATTAAGATAATTAAAAATCAGATTTTTTTTGCAATCATTCTCAATTTCTTTTAGAACTATAAGAAAAAGCACTTTGTAGTACATACTCTGTAACTAAAAGTTTCAATTTTCGTTTGTTTAATTATTGCATATATTGAGGCTCATTATAATATAAATAAAAATTTTGACAAATACTTTTAAATCTTAACATGGGATTTTTTTTGTTAATTCAAAAAAATTATGTAAAATAATAATTTCTATAATATAGTTTGGAAGAAACTTTCCCCCCATAAAATTTTCTAAAATAGTCAACAATGTATTGGATGAAATTATATCAATAATTCAATTTCCATAATATAAGTGAGATAAATTATATAGTAAAAGTTTTAATTAAATATCTTATGTATTTTTATTTTTTTAATATTTTATGATAAAATTTATTAACCCTTTATTGTAAAACTTTCTTTTTAACCAAATCATGATTTCGAGGTAGTTATGTCGTTCGGATAAATAACAAATTCATTTTGTATATAGTGGAAATAAAAATTATAGTGATTTTCAATTTCTCTGAAAAAAAATTGAATTTTGGTCTAATATCGTAAATGCTTTTTTATTCTGAGTTATGTCTATCAATAAACATTATATTTATGACAAAAAATTTTTATACTAAAAAATTGTAGCAAAGTAAAAGTAAAAACAGCAAAGTAAAAATTTAAAAAATTTGCAAATAATTTGAATAATTATTTACTGGTATAATTTCATACTAGGTTTATTCACTGATATCTTCTTTAGTTTTCATAAATTTTAATTTTTTAAAAATAAAAAGCATGCTTGTGTGTATCTATTTGCTATTAATTATACCACAGAAAGATGCTATTTAAAACAAGAATTAAATTATAGAAAAATTTCGAAAAATTAAAGCATTTCTCCTATTATAAATTAAAGAATGTATTGTGTACTGTTTTCAGTATAGGGTTAAGAATGACGCCTTTTCAATAAATCAATTCATATATAATTTAATTTTATTAATAAAATTTTTTAAAGGGTTGTCATTAAAATTTCACCTACGGAATATTTTATATTTAACCAAATTTCTGCCTATTTTATTATATAATATTTTTTCTCCCAATAAATAATTTAATTTATATAATAAAAAAGAAATATTTTGAAAGTGTTTTATATTAATAATATTCCTAAAGCATTTTATTGTTTCCGGTCTTAAAAGTTAAGCGAAATTTCTTCCCAAAAAAAAAAGACATCATAACAATATAGAATAAGAAGTAAAAATTCAATTAAGGTCATCATAAAAAAAATCCTTTTAATTATGTGGCTTAAGGCAAATAAGTCCCTTTATATTTTTCCCTTTATATATACGAATAGATAATAGTATTGGAAAATAAAATAAAAATCTTTTAAAGGATCTTCAAGTCTATACATATATACATTAAAATGGAAAGGATATGACAATTTTTGTAATGATGGGTAATAAATTTTATGTGAATCTTATTTTTAATAAAAAATTATTAATAAAAAATAAATCAAAGAAATTTCCGAAATTCTATAATAAATACAAAAGTATACAGTTATTTAAGTTAATTTAAATAATTTTTTAATATTATATAAAAGAATCCTTTTTCTGTTACACATACATATATATATACAATCAAAACCATATTTTGTTATCGAAATCATTTAGCACCTATTACGGTAAATTAATTTCATATTTAAAAACATAATTTGTAAAAGCAATAGATTGCAGAGTAGCACTTTTCATTTTAATAAGTTTAATTTAAAACTTGATTGATCCCCCCACAATACAATTTTAAGTTTTGAAGAAAATATAAGTGACGCTGCATGTTTTGGGTGTTTCTCATAATACTTTTCACATAAAAATTTCACATATTTAGAACCAAATATTATTGCATAGCTGTAGCAAATATATTTTTGGTAATTTTTACGCGTTTTCTAGCTAAAATAGAAGAGATAGAGCGATTCTAAGTGTTTTTGTGATCACTGGGAGTCCACAGATTCTACCAATATATGATAATAGGCTGTAGCAAAAATATTTTTGGAGATTTTTAAGAGAATCTTTTGAAAAACTTTAAACGCGTTTTCTAGCTAAACTAGAAGAAATAGAGCGATTCTGAGTGTTTTTTGTGATCACTGGGAATCCACAGATTCTGCCAATATATAAGAGTAGCCTGTAGCAAAAATATTTTTGGAGATATTTAAGAGAATCTTTTGAAAAATTTTAGACGCGTTTTCTAGCTAAACTATAAGAGATAGAACGATTCTAAGTGTTTTTGTGATCACTGGGAATCCACAGATTCTGCCAATATATAAGGGTAGCCTGTAGCAAAAATATTTTTGGAGATATTTAAGAAAATCTTTTGCAAAACTTTAAACGCGTTTTCTGGCTAAACTAGAAGAGATAGAGCGATTCTAAGTGTTTTTTGTGATCACTGGGAATCCACAGATTCTGGCAATATATGATAATAGGCTGTAGCAAAAATATTTTTAAAGATATTTAAAAAAATCTTTTGCAAAACTTTAAACGCGTTTTCTGGCTAAACTAGAAGAGATAGAGCGATTCTAAGTGTTTTTTGTGATCAATGGGAATACACAGATTCTGTCAATATATGATAGTAGGCTGTAGCAAAACTATTTTTAAAGATATTTAAAAAAATCGTTTGCAAAACTTTAAACGCGTTTTCTGGCTAAACTAGAAGAGATAGAGCGATTATAAGTGTTTTTTGTGATCACTGGGAATCCACAGATTCTGGCAATATGTGATAATAGGCTGTAGCAAAAATATTTTTGGAGATATTTAAGAAAATCTTTTGCAAACCTTTAAACGCGTTTTCTGGCTAAACTAGAAGAGATAGAGCGATTCTAAGTGTTTTTTGTGATCACCGGGAATCCACAGATTCTGGCAATATGTGATAATAGGTTGTAGCAAAAATATTTTTGGAGATATTTAAAAAAATCTTTTGCAAAACTTTAAACGCGTTTTCTGCCTAAACTAGAAGAGATAGAGCGATTCTAAGTGATCACTGGGAGTCCACAGATTCTGGCAATATATGAGAGTAGGCTGTAGCAAAAATATTTTTGGAGATATTTAAAAAAATATTTTGCAAAATTTTAAACGCGTTTTCTGGCTAAACCAGAAGAGATAGAGCGATTTTAAGTGTTTTTTGTGATCAATGGGAGTCCACAGATTCTGGCAATATGTGATAATAGGCTGTAGCAAAAATATTTTTGGAGATATTTAAAAAAAATTTTTGCAAAATTTTAAACGCGTTTTCTGGCTAAACTAGAAGAGATAGAGCGATTCTAAGTGTTTTTTGTGATCACTGGGAATCCACAGATTCTGGCAATATGTGATAATAGGCTGTAGCAAAAATATTTTTGGAGATATTTAAAAAAATCTTTTGCAAAATTTTAAACGCGTTTTGTGCCTAAACTAGAAGAGATAGAGCGATTCTAAGTGTTTTTTGTGATCACTGGAAGTCCACAGATTCTGGCAATATGTGATAATAGGCTGTAGCAAAACTATTTTTAAAGATATTTAAAAAAATCGTTTGCAAAACTTTAAACGCATTTCTGGCTAAACTAGAAGAGATAGAACGATTACAAGTGTTTTTTGTGATCACTGGGAATCCACAGATTCTGGCAATATGTGATAATAGGCTGTAGCAAAAATATTTTTGGAGATATTTAAAAAAATCTTTTGCAAAATTTTAAACGCGTTTTCTGGCTAAACTAGAAGAGATAGAGCGATTCTAAGTGTTTTTTTGTGATCACTGGAAATCGACAGATTCTG